TAATATGAGTTGCTGCTGAAGACTGGTCTCATTGCATGGGTGTGAGGCACGTCTCACAAACAAGGTGCTCCACGCTTAGTCCTTTACTGCTGTCTGCCCTCCATGTTGGAAGCGTGTCCTTTTCAAAAGAAACGTCCCCCTACCCTGATCTTCCATTTGCATCTGGGTCGTGCTGGGTAAAACTCTTGACATAAGTCAGGCCCTAAGACTGACTTTGTTTCTCCACCATGATACTCGTATTCTGGAGCATCCTGTGACCTGTGCAGCTGTCTCTGAAGTTCCCTTCACTTTGGATAGCTTCCTGATTTCTGATGAGAAAAACTTGAAAAAAATTACTGATCCTATTTTGGGATAATGAACTTGCTAAGGAATGTTGTTGATTATAACTTGTTTTTAAATGTACCAATGTGATCTCTCACTGAGCACTGAGAGTTAGAATTTATTTTTCTTTCTATGGTTGAAAATCACTAAAGTTGGAGACAAATACTTCAGTGTATTCAACTTTTTCTTCCCACATGTCTAAAGTGGCCTTTAAAAACCTCTACTTTATTTTGATCATTAAATGTGCAATATTCACTTCTTATGCGTTGTTCAATGTTTTACATGCTTGTACAGAAGATGAGTTTTTATATCATGGTGAGAAACAAGAATAAATAAGAATTGATTAAGGAAAATTCTGCAAATAAACTACATTCAGAGTCAATTTACCTATGGTGGGCCTGTCTCATTGTTTTTGGCAAGATTGTTGGCAGGTCGTCTTTTTATACATACATCACATGAAGAAAAATTTTAAATTAGTTTGTAATGGCTTTTAGATCTTTACTCTGTGGTGTTTACTTCAGTGGTGAAGCCTCTAATTTCAAAAAGAATTGGCGTGAACCAGAGACTGTCAGAGAGATCAGGAGACCCCTCACAGTCTGTAATGTGGCCTAACCTCTGTAGGAGGTGGGGCTTAAGAGCTGCACTGAGGCTCCCCCTGCCTGAGTGGTGAGCTGGTGTGAGGGAGGGAGCTGCCAGAAGGCCTAGCTGCCAGCAGAGGGCAGCGCCCCAGGGGTTGCTAAAAGGGTCTGCTCTGAAAATGGGCCTTCAGTATTGGAATCCCAGGAAATTTCTCCTTAATGTTAATTTTCATGGATTTGTAAGACATGCCTAGAATTGGCGGGAGGGGCTGCACATTCCACTGGGGATTATCATCAATTTGGGATTAACCAAGGATGAGGCCTTCTGGGTGTGGTGGGTCTCACATCGCTCTCTGAGTTGGGCTGCTTTCCAGGTAAAAACCACAGGGTTTAAGGGTTGGAAAGTGGCTCATGAGCAGACTTGTTTTCATGGGTGCTGTGCTGAGGGAACAGAAGGCTCCAGCCTGTACCCTGTACCCCTTGGGGAAGTCCAGTCATGAGAACACCAACTCATCTTGGTCATTTCTCTCCTTGACTTTGTGGCTCTAAGAGGAGAGTGGAGAGTCCCAACTGCTGACCCAGCCTGTTGCCCAGGCTTTGCTTGCCAGAGGCCTGAGTGTCCTGAGAGGGCTGGAGAGGGGAGGAGGGGGGGCATGTGCTATCCCTGAGGGGTGGGGCAGAGCAGCTTCTTTATCAGGAGGCCAAGCAAAGGCTGCTTGGACTGTGTACAGGTTGTTAAAGGGGACTCCAGTTGTCCATGAACCTGCTCCCCATGGCCACGGTGATCTGAAACCACTCCATCAGAGTCCATTCCTGCTTCTTCCACTAAATAAGTCCTGCTGTCAAGTGAAATCCTGCAGCCAAGGGCACCAGATCATTAGCCAGCTCCCCTGTACTCCGGGATAATAATGTGAACAATGTCAGGTGCCCCGGAGAGCAAGTGACCAACTTCTGCTTGCCTAAGAGTCACCTGGAGTCATCTGGATCCTGGTTATAAATAACAAGATCAAGCCGACATTTGGAGGACTGTTGGGGAAATCTGAATCTGGACCTTAAGGTGGCATTACTGAATTACTGTTAATTTTCTCAGGCGTGGTAATGGTAGAGGAGAATGCTCTTGTCCTTCAAAGGTGTTTAGGGTAAAGGATTGTGATGTCTGCAGCTAATTTGCAAATGGTCCAGTCAAGCGTGTACACACACACACACAGAATGTGAGTAACGGAGGTAGTGATGTGTGGGTGAGCATCTCACTTTTTCAAGTTTGTTGGTGTATGTTTGAAATTGATAACAAAAGGATGGGGCAAAGCCACTTAAAGAATTTGTTTAAAATGTTAGTTCCTCTGCCCTGAGCTTGTGGTTCAGTATGTCCTGGTGGTGCTCAGACTGGGCATTTGAACAAACTCCCAGGTGTTCCTGATGCAGGTGTCCCTTGGAACTCACCAGGGAGACCCTGCTCCAGGCCCAGGGCCCAGCCCAGGATATCCAGTCTCTGAGATGGCAGCGGACAGAAAGTGAAAGCAGCCATGGCAAGTAGTACGAGGGACTCGGTGCCACACTCACCCCCTTGTGTGCCCTGAGTCCCTTCTGCTATTCTCATGTCTTGAGGGGCAGCACCCAACACTCGGTGCCCTACCTCTTCAGCCCTGGCCACATTCTGTCCCTACCCTCTGGGTCTGGCAACTTCCAACTGCTTATACCATGTGGTATCCAATTTCCTGTTTTTGCTCCAACTGTCCTTTTGTTTATTTTTATGATTTTGTGTGTGTGTGCTGGGGACTGAATCCATGGCCTTGTACATGCGAGGAGGCAAGCGTTCTACCAACCAAGCTATATCCCAGCCCCTGTCCCTTTGTTTAGAATGTTCTTTTTTCCTACCCCCAACCTCCATTCTTCTATTTACACAGCCAACAAGTACTGTCCCCAGGTAGATTTTTCCAGAAGGCTTCCCCAAAATGGGGCCAGTTGCCTTGTTTATGTGATCCCACAGCACCCCTCCTCCACCCCCCACCCCACCCCTCGCTGTCTCTACCTACACATAATTTTCTTTCTTCTCTTCCTTGTGGTGCTGCGGATGGAACTCAGGGCTTTATGAGCACCAGGCAAGTGCTCTGCCACTGAGTTACGATAAGGTTGTGTTGCTCACTAGCTTGAGAGCTTCTGGAGTCTTACTGGGGAGTCACCTATCCTGTTCCCAAATGTCCTCCTTCCAAATTCCACATTGAGTTCTGCTGCCTGGTGTCTTTAGGGTGAACTGGGCAGGTAGTCAGTTCTGGCTAATGAACTGTGATCACCAGTGGGAGGCCCTCCAGGGGGTTCTTTTTGCCTCTGACCCAGCAGTCCTCAACATCAGAGGGGACCTGAGTAGCAACACAGGAGCAAAGACCATCTGGCAGTTCATGATAAATTCATAGCTTTGGCAAGAAACAAAGCCTTATGTTTCCAGCCACTGTGATTTTAGGGTATGTTACCACAGCACAACCTAGCCCACCTGACTGACTGAGATGCCTTTGTGCCTGTCTGTTTGTTTGTTTGTTTTAGGCAGTGGGTATTGAGCCCAGGGGCACTTGGCCACTGAGCCACATCCTCAGCCCTTTTTATTTATTTATTTTTATTTTGGGAACAGGGTCTTACTAAGTTGTCCAGAGCTTCACTAAAGTTGCTGAGGCTGGCCTCAAACTTGTGATCCTCCTTCCTCAGCCTCCTGAGCCTCTGGCATACAGGTATCACCACCATACCCAGTGCCACCTTCATTTTTAAGGTATCCCTAAACACCTTACCCAATTCATAGCACAAAACAGATACACAAGAAATAATTCCTGTCAGTTTTCCTTGGTTGTAAAACTGGCTTCAAAGACCAAGGAGGTGTTCTAATACACATCTCTCCTTTGTCCCTAACTTATTCCCTGGTGATACAGAACTTTCCATGGAGGTGCCTAAAAGCATCTCTGAGCAACAAGATACAGATGCCAACTCTTGTGACCTCTTACTAGCTAAGAGAGGCTCCTTGGTGGATCCCACGTTACCATGAGCTGCTACCACCCACTGACCCTGGTGAAGGCTCTGGTGTGGAGGGGAGCCTGGTAATGTGCTGCTCTCAACCTTCAACCCATCTCCCTCGCCTGTGGCCCTTCCTCTTGACAGCTTACCTGGATCCCACTCCTGCTCTCTTAATAGTACCAACAAATTCACACTGTAGTGTAAATAGGGAAGGCAGCACCCTTCCCTCTTCCCCCACAAAATCATCCAGGCTGAACTGGGGCAGATGGGACAAAATTGCCATTGCTTTTGGACTTCCCACATCCTAGGAGGAAGCATGCTGTGGAGAGAGGTCAGCACTGTCATGAAGCCAGATTTAGACAGGCATCCATCTGTACAGGTAGGTAAATGGAGTCAAGTCGGATCAAGGAGGCCAATTTGAATGAGTCCCTGAAGTTGGAGACTGTCCCTCTGAAATGCCTTCCTCCACCCTATCAAGAGAACCTGCCCCTGGGCCAACCTGTTGTTAAGGTAACCTGCCCCAGGAAGTGCCCTTCTCTACAGGGAGTTATAAAGTTGTTAGTTAATGTGTCCTGGGCTGCTCCATCCGTCTCTTCCCCCGTCCATCTGCTTCTCACCTTTTGGCATTCCCACGGAGCACCTCCTGGCCTAGTCACCCATAAGCAGGAAGGAGAGAGATGAGGGTAAGAGAGCAGGAGAACAAAGGAAGCCTGGGACATATGAAAAAGGTAAAACCCCTCACTTCGTGGAATACCACAATACCAGCTATGACCCTCTTCTCCAACCCGGGAGAAGTCTAGGTTACCTCTTTTTAAATAAATCCTGCTTTATGTGTTTGCTTCCGCGTGTTCTCTAATGTCATTCTTCAACATGTGAAGAAGCAGGACTCGTGGATACCAGCGATATCAGTAGTTGGGTTTTTGGTTTTTTTCCTTTTATGGTACTGGGAATGGAACCCAGTGCCTTACCATGGTAGGTATGTTGCTCTATCATTGAGCTCTATCCACAGCCCTTTACTTCTTTCTTTCTTCTTCTTCTTCTTCTTTTTTTTTTTTTTTTGCCCTTTACATTTTTCAATTTTATTTTAAAAGAGTTTCACTAGGTTTAGGCCTCAAACTTGCTGTCCTGCCTCAGCCTCTGGAGTGGCTGGGGTTCCAAGCATGGGACAAGATGCTTCTTGTAGCTTCTTAATTCATGGGGATCCAGAGCTTTCCTAGGGGCTTCCAGCTTTCAGTCCCTGAGACTAAAGCTTCCAGATGCTTTGAGATAACGGTCTTTGATTTCCTTTCCTTGGGGTCCCAGCTTGAGGTAGCAAGAGGTGGGCAGAGGGTGCAGGACAGTCACAGTGGTGATGGAAGAAGGTAGGACTCCAGGTCTTCCCATGCTACCAGGTTTCCAGAATTTGCTCTTCCTCTGGCCACAGTTTGCACACCCCCATCTTTTGTTTTCTCTTGTGGGCTTTGTTCCCCACAAGGCTGCTGAGAGGGCTTCATTCATCCAGGAACTCTGCACATCCAAAGGCTCACACCTGAGATAGGCTCATACTCTCCAAAGTCCCATCACATCTGTTATTTCTTCAGATCTTGATAGACCTACCATTCCCGGGGTGGGGGGAAATGTGGTTTTCCCTGTTCAGCAGTGGATAAGTTGAGACCCAGTGAGTGGAAGAAAGTGCCCTGGTCCACACAGTAGTTTGGTGACAGAGCAGGATGGAGCCTGGGCCTCCAGACCTTGTGGTCGGTTTCCTGTCCTAGATAATTAAGGTTGAGGGGAGCTGTTCTGGAAGTTTCCTGCTGAGGTTCACATGTACACACACACACTTTCAGAATGCTTGCTCCACTAGAATAATTATCACAGGGGCTCAAAGATGTTCAGTAAAGGCCACCTTGGGGGTCACCTGGCGGGGGCTGCCTGGGAACCAAACCTCATGCTGGCCTTCACTTGGTGTGCAAAATGATGCTGGTGGCTGAGGGGCTCCTCATGGGGAACATGTGGCAGCTGGTGGGCCCCTGGGGTTCATCTGGCTCAAATTTTCATAATTGGATTCTTGAGTCTGGGGCCTGCAGACAGGAGAAAGTGAACTGACCACCCAGTGAGAGGCAACTAGCAGCTAGGATCAGTCTCTACCACCTCCAAGTAGTCTTATCAGAGGCTCCACAAACCAGCTCCATGTCCCTGACCTCTATTCCCTGTCTCCAAGTCCCTTCATCTTTCCACACTTCTGCTGGAGGTATCCTGGCAGGATCTCAAACCTCCAAGGCCTCCCCAGCTGCTCCTCTTCCCTATCACCTTGGTAAGAATTCCTGGGCTCAAGCTCCAACCCCGGGTGTCCTGGCTCCCTCTCTCACATGCTGCTACCCCATCCTCAGGCAAGCCCCACCTTCCATCTCCCCACCTCCACTTGTGACACCTCTGTCCACGCAGCCACACGGCCTCCTCCCTCCTTGTTCAGTTGGGGCCATTCCTGCTGAAACCATTCTCCCAGCCCATCCAGAATAGCACCTCCAGCCCTCCTCCAGCCCCACCTGCCCACTTCACATCCATGCTCTGGCCTCACTGCCTCCCTCCTGAGTCCCAACTGTGCCTTCCCCTCGCCTTTTCCCTCCTCAGATTGCCCCATCCCCTGTCCTCCTGGCTCCAGCCTCCAGCTTCAGGTTTCCTAAGGGCCACATGCCCAGCCCATGGTCAACCTGTCTCCGAGGGCTCAGCTTCACCACTGCATCCACTTTTCACGGTCCTTATTTGTAGTCTACCATGATTTGTGTATGTGTTTATTAAAATTCTCCATTATGGAACATGAGTTCAAGGATTTTCTCTCTTTAACTTCCAAGTCAGTGCTTGCTACATAGGGGGCACTTGAATGTTTGTTAAATGATTAAACAACAGCTGGCTTCCTGATTAAGGGGTCTCATAAAAAATATACAAAAAAAAAAAAAAAAAAAAAAAAAAAGGGGGGGATATGTGACAGATCAACACTGCAGGAGATGCTTGAGCATTCAGCTGGAGAGGGGACTAGGCTCATCTGAGGGCCTGGAAGGACTGTACCCTACCCCCGCCAGCATCCAGCACAGGGTACCCAGTATCTAGAACTGTTTTTTTTTTTTTTTTTTTTTTATACCAGGGACTGAACCCAGGGGCACTTAACCACTGAGCCTTTTAAATATTTTGTTTAAAGATAGGGTCTCACTGAGTTACTTAGGACCTTGCTAAGTTGCTGAGGCTGGCTTTGAACTCGAGATCCTCCTGCCTCAGCCTTCCAAGCCACTGTGATTACAGGCATGCACCACTGCACCCAGCTAGAATTCAGTTCTTTCTTCCTTCAACACAGGGCTTCACTTGGGTGGACACCACAGAGGACAGCATGACCTCTGGTCAATGTCTTCCTAGCTGGGATTCCCAGATCCCTCATCTAAGCCAGATCCTAAAACCTCTAATGAAATTTTGTGTGGGAAGCCTTCAGCAGAGTGCCTGGGAGAATAAGTGTCCCCATGGTGGGATTGCCTGTTCCAGAATCCTGGGGGACTATAAGACCAAAAAGCCTGGAGGTGTCACTCCTCAGCACCATGGACAGCAGGCGGGGGGAGGGGGTGGTAGGGGAACAGCTCCCTGATCTATCCAAAGAATGGTGTGCTGTACTGAGGCAGGCTGTGAGGTAGGCCCAGACCCTGGTCGGGGACCCTGGCCCTTCCCTTAGCCTGTTCTTTCTCCTTGTGCTACGGTCTGAGAAGCTGGCACCCCCCTGGCCAGTGGGACCAGGTGGGGTGAAATATGGGAGGCAATGAGCACACTTACCGCGGAGGGGTGTCCTGGGTGACCTGGTGCTCTGTGTGGGGGAAAGAACAAGGAGTTATAAGTATGCCTGCAGCATCCAGCCTACATGCCTACACGCCCCCCCCCCCCCCGCACTGCACCCCACCGTGTAGAATGGTCTCAAGGAGACACGTGGCAGACAGCAGAGGAGCAGGGTGTGCAGAGGTGACATTAAGCCCTCCACCTGAAAGAGGACCACAAGTAAAGAAGGAAAAGGACAGAGTGAGGGGCTGTTCACCAGAAAGAAAACACGATGGCTTTCTAAGCACAACCCCCCCCCCCCCAAGCATGGGCATGAAATGCTTGGTGACTTTGCAGAACCAGCAAGAATGCCAGGATGGCCACAGCAAGGACAGCAGCCAGGTAACTGTGGCAAATTTTGGATTTCATCCCTACATTTGAAGGCTAGTGCTATCGATCTGGGAGGACTGAGAACCTGGGGACACAACAAATTTGTCACCCAGCACAGCAACAGCAGTGTGGCAGCTCTCTAGAGATACCTGCCAGTTCAAGTTGCCAGGCTTTTGCACATGCTGTCCCCTCTGCCAGTGCACATTTTGCTCCTTGGTTTCCGAGCTCATGTGTATTTAGATTTTTTGGCTTGGCTCCCACCTCACTTCTTGGGCAAGTCCTTCCCTCCTGGCCACACCAGAATAGAACAGCATCCTTTGGCTTCTGCGGTTAGTGGCATCTAGGTGACCCCTCTCACAGTGCCCTGCAAAGCTGTGCTGACAAGTCAGCTCCCGTGGGGGGCGTCCCAGCACCATGCACCCCAAAGCTGGTTCTCAGGATGCTTGTAGTAACACAATGGAACGGTGCCTACTGGGAAAGCCTGCGGCTTAAGCGCTTAAGGTGGTGGTAAAGGGGCGGCTCTAGAGCCAGACGTGGCTGAATCTCTGTATCAGTGACTCCAGGTAAAAGGCCAGGTGCTTAACCTTCCTAGCTGTGAAATCCGACTCACCCTGGCTCCCACCTCCTGGGCTCCACTAAGGGAGAAGAAAGCGAGCCTAAGCACAGGTGCAAAATGGACGTTCTGGTTGTGTCAAGCCTGCTGGTCAGCAGGCCGATCTCACCTGAGGGGACAGCCCCGGCCCGCCCTCTCGCACCTCCCCGGGTCTTTGGCACACCCACCTAGCCGGCGGCGGGTGGCGAGAGCGGCCAGAACGCCCAGCAGCAGCAGAGCCTTCAGGCCCAGCGCACCCAGCAGGAGCGCGATCGCCGAGGCCCGGGTGGCGCCGCGGAAGCGGAACAAGTAGACGCTGGCCTCCGCGTGGCCCAGGCTGTTGGTGGCCGTACAAGTGTAGCGGCCGTCGTGGGTCAGCGCGGAGAGCTCGGCAGTCACCCGGTATCCGTGACTCTGTCCCAGCACCGCCGCGGAGTGGTTGCCCAGGGCCGGGCCGGACCAGGCAAGGGCAGGCGGCGGCTCCCCTTCAGCCGTGCAGAGCGCACGGAAGGCGTGCGCTGGGCTCGGCAGCACCGAGATGTTGACGATTCGTGGTGCGCCTGTGGGAAAGGGAAAAGGGGGACTATGTCACTGGTCAAGGAGCGGCGGCCCAGTGGAGAGGGAGAAAGCCTAGTGCAGTGACAGAGAAGCGGGCAAGAGGCACCCCTCCCTTCCGCGTGCCCTTGGGACGCCAGTACTCTAGGAGTGAGGTGCAGGGACCTCAAGGAGGACATGTGGACTCCTGGGTGCCAGGATGCCAGGCTCCCAATACAGCTGTAGCCTTGGACAAACCATTCCACTTCTCTTTGCCTCAGTTTGTCCTTGTGTAAAACGGGGATCGTCAACAGAACCTGCCTCGTGGGGTTGTTGAGATTTAGCAAATCAATACTTGTGGCGTGATTGGACTAGGGCCTGGCCTGGTAGCAAGTGCTCATTAAATGGTCATTCATTATTGTCCTAGCTCAGGGTTGGTGCCACAGTGGAGAGCTACTGATCTAGGGACGAGGACCTGCTTCAGGCATCTTTGTATCTTAATCTAGCCAAGTGCCAAGCACTTGGGGGTGGTGGTGGTCCCTGTGCACCTCTTGGGAGGAGGAATGCGGTGTCCTTCAGTGCAAATCATTGCAGCACTTGTCATAGTGAAGATTATGGTTCTTCCTTTTTTCTCTTCCCCTTGTCTGCCAGTTTCTGGGGACACTCACTCTCTGAGTTGCATTACATTGCGTATTCCCGGGGTCCCACCTCAATCCTTTCTGCGAAAAAAATTTTGCATTTCTGACAAGTTCCCAGGTCGCCCTTATCCACTAAGTTTTGAGAGCCCCTGGGGTGGATGAGCAGGGACAGGTCTTGTTGCGTCCCTGTCGCAGCGGCGTGCACGGCGCAGCCGGACTGGGAAGGAGAAAACCATTTGCCCCCATGTGGCCCTGGCCACCCGCCAGCCTCACCCGAGACGCGCAGCCAGACCCCGTGGCGGCTCTCGTAGCGGTCGTGGACGTCCCCGGAGAACTCGATGCGGCAGAAGTAGCGGCCATCGTCGGCCAGCGCGAGGCGCTCGACGCGCAGCGACAGGTCGTTGTGGCGTGGGTTGCCCAGCAGGCGGAAGCGGCCGTGCAGGCTCAGCGCTGTCTGGCAGAGCTCGCTGCCCCGGGCCGCCGCGCACCGGAACACCTGCGGGCCCGCGTAGGGCTCGCCCGCGCGCCAGATGGCGGTCAGCGGCCCGTCATAATGGCGGTGCGGGTGCGTGAAGGTGCAGGGCAGCACTGCTGCATCGCCCGCCACTGCGCTCACCTCCGAGGGCACCTGCATGGACCAGCGCTGCGCTGGCGGGCCTGCGGACCGTGGGGAGCGTCAGGGTGGCCTGGGGACCCATCCCCAGTCTGCAGAGCATCTCTACCCGCCAGGCCCTGGAACCCCAGGACTCAGGAAGCACCTTCCCCTCCCCAGGGAACCTGGCACCCCATTTCCTGATTTGAGAGGAATCTCCCCAGCCTGTACTTCCATGACAGGGACCCCCGCCCTCTTCCTGGGATCATCTGCCTCATTCGTGGAGGTCTCCACCTCGGCCATAGGCCCAGTGCCTCTGTACTCTTCCCTTTAGCTTTTCCCTGACACCTGCTCCGGTTCCTACTGAGTTGCAAGATCCCCAAGATGGTGATAAGAGAAAAAGCACTTACTGTGCCCCTCAGTGTGGAGTAAATTCCCCGTAGTATCTCTTTTAGTTCTCATGAGTGATCCTAGAGGTAAGCATGATCATCCCTGTTACATGTTGTTAAACTGAGGCACAGAGAGGTTAACTGAGGTCACACAGCTAAGCAAAGTTGGCATTCACACTTGGGACTTTCTTGCTCCACAATGTGCACTGTAGTTCACTAGAGGCTTGGGGGACATCTGAGTACACCAACACTCCCTGGGAGGTCACTGCAGCCCTTGACACATTTACCCTTCTGGATTCTCATTCACTCCTTCTCCTCTTTCCTTTGTCTGCCAGTGTTTTGATGGGTTGAGCCAGTGGACAGTATTCCTCTAGAATTCAGGTCAACCCGGTGGACTGTGCTCTGACTGACTTCCCAAAAGGCTAGTCCCCAGGCAGGGAGCAGAGAGGCTGGAGTAGCAGCTGCTCTGTTGACTCATGGCCCTGTGCATGTGCTTTTGGACTGTTTTCCCACCTCCCATCTTAAGAACACTGAAGAATGTAGAGCTGAGCTCTGTCCCCAGCTGAACCAGGACTGGAGAGTCCCAGGGCCATGTGTTGAGGATCAGGTCAGGGGTGGTGCCTCCGTTAGGAGGGAGGGAGGGAGGTAATCCTGCCCAGCTAGTGCCCTGGGGTGTGGCACACAAAAGGGACCTTTAGAAGGAGTGGTATTGGGCATTGCAGTTTACACAGCTCTTTCACATATACCTTGCGCGTGACCCTCAAAGCACCCTGGGGGAGAAAGGGGAGGAAGATTCTGTTATAGTCACAGAGGTAGCAAGTGGGAGAAACCTAGTTTTTCAGATTCCAAACCCAGTGCTCTTTGCTCTTCGATGTAATTTAGCACCACTCACTCCTTGGTCAGAAATTTCCTCAGCCCACTCCCACCAATGAGTAACCTAGAGGTGAAGACATTCTTCCTGCACAGAACCAACATCTATATTCACCCTCAGGGCCGCCATTGCTGTTTGGAGCATGCACATCTCCCCCTGGGATCCCACCCCAGCCATCCTGTATCCATTGTGCCTTCTCTTTTCTGGTGGAAAAGTCCCAGTCCTTCACCTGCCCCTCAAGGAGTCGCCCTTCCTTGAGTACAGCGTCCTGACCCAGGTGGCTGCCGGGCTGTGCACCTGCACAGTGATGTAAACCCCACAGTGTGGCCTCAGGCTGTGGGAGCTGTGCCTTCAAGAAACCCTGTGGGCTCACACCCACTCACCATCAAGTACAACCACAGTGCTTCTTCACGGAACCTGTTTGGGGGCCTAATCGCTTTCATTCTGGACTAGGGGAATTATATTTTTTCATCCACGTGGAGGATTTGACATTGATCCCTAGAAAGAGCTTGTTTGCTTAGTGGTTCATAATCAAAGGGCTGTGCCTGCTGCAGAAAGTGTCTCCCTAGTCTTAAGGCTCTGGGCTGTCTCAGTTCCCTATCAACTGCCCACTCCCTGTGATCTCAGCCTCTTCTGATCTCTTGCATCTTGCAGGCATTGAGGATCCAGGCACAATCCCCTCTGTATTGTTTGCTGAACATTTGCCAGTTCAGCGAACATTTGCCAATTCGGCAAACATTTATTGAATACTTTCCCACTCCATGTCAGGCACTGGAATATGAGCTGCGGTGCCAAGGATGAACAAGAGACCTTGTCAGCCTGCTGGAGCTCAGAAAAGGAGACAGATCTGTGAGCACGTAATTAATTCCACGAGCCTGCCAGGTGTTCCATGGTGAACCTGAACAATATTCCTGCTGTCTGAACGTGGTTCCTGGCCCATTATCACGCATCCTCAGTTTTTGCTGAGTTGTCCCTGCAGAAGGAGAACTTTCCTGAGCCCAGACCTGGCTCTGGTGTCTTTCCCTGTGCCTCAGGGCTGGCATGGACACTTTCTCAACCTAGACATTGCCTATGTGTGTTTAATGCCTGGCTCTGTGATGCCTGCAAGAAGCTGTGGAAGGGCAGGATCCATGTCCCTGTGGTCTTGTTTGTGTCACTGTGGTCCAGCATGTGGTTCTCCATGCTGAACTGAATTGCTATGACTGAGCAGAAGGGAGGGGGGCCATGGTGGAAGGAGTGGGTGAGGCAGTGGAGAGGGGTATGCAGATGCTGGGTTGGAAGGGATTGGAGAACCCATGAGAGAGGAGTTGTGTGTTTGCAGAGCCTAGAGAAAGGAGGGCATGTCCCTGTGCCTGGGGGTGGCATTCTAGGAACAGGGAACAGCGAAGCAAAGCTACAAGGCACGGGCATCCTAGGGACACAGAGTTTGCAGGCAGGAGAGGGTAAGGAGGCCAGACAGCTGAAGAGTGGGGAAATGTTGGGAGATACTCCTCACTTGTTTAAAATACACAGCTGCCCCATGAGATGCCATGATCAGCCCCTTTTTAGAGAAGGGGGATCTGGGGCTTTCCGAGCCTGAGTTACTTGGCAAAGTTATTTCACCAACCGGTAGCAGAGCTATGGCTCGCCCCTGGGAAGCTCTGTCCCCTTGTTCACGTTCTTGCCTTAATCCCTGCATCCCGTTGCTCAAGGCCTGGTTTGAAAACACTCTGCAATGTGGCAGGCCTGGGCCCGCCCTCCTGGCTGGGTTTTGCTCCAGGAGTGGAAGGGGAACACAGAGGCCCTTTCACCACTGGTTCTGACCTTGGCTCCTGGTAGATGTGTGCTTGGTGTTTGCCTGCTCACAGGGTCCAGAGAGGTGGTGCCTGTGCTGCCTCTTACACAGAGAACTTTGGATGAGCCTGCCCCAGAGATTCGAAGGGAGGGCGGAAAGGCCCCAGCTGAATTACCTGGGGAACAGAGGCATTTGCTTTAGCAGGAACCCAAGCCTCCAGCATCTGGTGACATTTAACAATGCCTCGGGCAGCTCATGCCAGCTGCTAAAACAGGGCAGGGGGGATTACTCATTTGGAAACTTATCGTAAGGGACCATATAATCTGTCTGCCTCATGTCTGTCAACCTCCAGGGGTCAACGGGAGACCCACATTCTCCCAGTTGTCTAAAATACAGCCTCTCTGTGGTGGGCCAAATGGATGGTGGGGATCAGGACAGCTCTGGCACAGCTAGACCTAGGTGACCATCCTCCCTCTGGCCATTCTTTCATCAAACTTTTATCAAGCACCTGATCTGTGCCTGGCACTGGTCTGGGCTCCTTCAGGTACTGGGTAATCACTAGGCAAGTTCCTGAAACCCAGGTTAGGGTCCCTCTGCTGCAAAGTGGGGGACATAGCAGCATCCTCAGAGGACGAAGAACTGAATAAAACCACCTGGGTAGATCACCTGCTTTGTCTGTCTGACACGGCCAGGGTGTTAGTTCCTTTCCCTCACTGGAGAGTGTGCAAAGGAGTGTGAACAGAGTGGGGAAGGGCTGCTAAGCAGAGACGTGCCCAGGTGATGCATGAGGTTCAAAGACTCAGTCCCCACCTTGTCCTAGAACAGCTAGAGTGAACAGCCTGGTCCTCATCCTGCGCTCACCTGCAAACTGGTTATATAGTCAATCAATTATCTACTCCATCACATTTATTGAGAGTTTACTGTCAAACATACTGTGCAGGGTGTAAGGGATACAGCTGCCATGGCAATGCCCTCCTTAGTATGTTGACAGTACTCTCTGCCACTGCTTGTTTTTAATGTATACACAATTCTAACTAGTTTATTTACGTTTCCAGCCCAGAGAAGTAGAAACTGAGAAGCTGGAAGGTGGTTTTGGTTTGTAGGCAACAAACCAAACCATTGAAGGCAGCAAGACAGGATGTTGCCACTCACTCAGAGAGTAGGGGGTCAGTCAAAATAATGAAAAGATAGCCTGGGACAGAAATGATAATGTACAGTGTCAAAGGACTGTTGGAGATGAGCCCGAGTCACTATGACACTGCAGAAGGCTACTGAAACTGGTGCATACGTGATGACCTGAGTCACTATGGGAAAGTTTATTGTCACAATATGCCTTGCCTTAGTTGTGTGTCCCTTTGATGGAGTGTCAGGGCTTTGACTGAGGCTCTGAAGCTGTCTTTGGGGACCTTAGCTATGTTGCTGTAGCCCTCTGCCTCAGAAGACCCATTCATGCAATGAAGTTTCTAGATGTTTAATAAAGTAACTTTCAAGTCTAAAAATCTGTCTGAAAGCCAAATCTGGATAAAATGACAAGGAAGCACATAAAATATTTTAGAAATATGTCTACATAAAATAAAGACTTTTAGGTATTTAAAAATAAGCCACTATTGGCTGGGCACTAATCCCAGCAATTTGGGAGGTTGAGGCAGAAGGATCATGAGTTCAAAGCCAGCCTCAGCAACTTAGTGAGGCCCTAAGCAACTCAGTGAGACCCTGTCTCTAAATGAAACACAAAAAAGAGCTGGGAATGTGACTTAGTGTTTAAGTGTCCCCAGGTTCAATCTCCAGTACCAAAAAAAAAAAAAAAGCCACTAACTAGCCAGAAAACTCAGCTGCCCAGAAAGATGCACTCACGCTCACACTCATGCTCACGCCTCGATAGTCCTTCATAGCCATTTACTAAACACTCCATGTGGCTCCCTGTGTGTCTCCTCCTGACACCTGGTTAAACAGGAACAGAGCTCCCACATAATCACAATGGTTATTCACCTAGGGAAGAGTTGGTCAGAGCCCAGAGCCCTGCACCAGAGGTAAGAAGGAACTCACCTCTGGAGGAAAAAAGAACACAGCTACAGAAAGGGAATGGGGGAGAGCCACAACTGGAAGGGATCAGAAATAGAAGCCTTGGTTTGGGCCACAGCTGACTAAAGATTTCCACCAGTCCCTGGATGAGGAAGGAGGCAGGAATTTGCCTCTCTGTGGCTCACCTGTGGGGTGGCAAATGTAGTCACACTTCCATTAACTACAGAGGAAGCTGCTTATTGGTTTCATGGCAAAGTGGAGTCAGGCAATGTCCATGCATCTTTTGATTTTTTTTTCTTTTTTAGTACTGGGAATTGGACCTCTTGCTAATTTGCCCAGGCTGACCTTGAACTTACAATCCTCCTGTCTCAGCCTCTTGAGTAGGTGTATGACCTGGCACCCTGCTCTTTTGATGTTTTCATAGTGTCTAGCATTGAAGAACCTCCCTAGGATATCACAGAGAGGAAAGTGAGCCCCATGGTGGTCACTGTGGGACAATGGCTAGAGCAGTGGGTGTCCTCATAGAATGACGCTATAACAAGAATTAGGTCTGCTGGGGTGGGCTTTATAGCACAGTTTTCTGGAAGGAGCAAGTTATGGATTTTGAGGGCAGGGGCGGGATAAGGCCAGGTGGAAGTCACTGACTGTGACTCCAGGAGAGATGGTGTCCTGGTACTCAGAATCAGAGCCCCTCAACAGCCTTCTGTGCTTCAGTGCTACTACCCCATGGTTGACTTTACCCAATATGACAAGCTCGACTATCTGTAAGTGTCCATCCTTCTTGAGGTTACCTGGGCAGCCAATGGGTATTCTGGGGAGTAGATTTAGTGGTGGCTTCTCAGACATTGTAGAGTCTGGAGGGCGAGGAGAAGCGTTTTGGGGTAAGGATCCTTGATCATCCTGGCCATCAGTATTCACCAGTGTGGGTCCCTGGGGCATATGATCTTTCATTCTATTTCTTCCTGTCCCTCAGTTTGCTCTCAGTGATTCTCTCCTGGGCTTATGGCTTGTCAGGATAGGTTATCAGTGGAGAGAAGGTGAGAGAGACTGAAATAGAGACCAGAGAGGAGAGGAGGAAGGGGAAGCAAGAATTCCATCCTTCAGTGTAAACCAGACCCAGGAAGGAGCTAGTGTGAGGGAGTGGGAGTGAAAGCCCTGGCATGTCCCGACGGCCCCCAGGGTGAGCCATTGAACTCCCCTTGAACTCTGGAATCTCTAGCCATTTGGTTGTGGACATGGGTGTGGCCTGCTACATGAGCTGGTGGAGATGCAGTCACAGGCTGCCCGCATCCTGCAGCCAGTGCCACCACAGTGCTGCCCTTCAGAGTTCTGAAGGGAGGCCCTGCTCTTCTTCCCTCCTCTGCCTCCCGGGTAGGACTCCTCAGTTGAGCAAACCTGTCCACAGTTGCTTTGGGAGCAGAAGAGCCTCAGTTCATTCAACCCTCCCATTTCCTCCTGGCCCCATGACAGCAGCCCATCTCCTCCCTGACCTTTCTCTGCCTCCCAAATAAGCACCACCAGGTCCTTGGATGCCTGCTGCTATTTCTTTTGCCATTTTGATTTGTTTTTCTGCACTAATTCAGAGCTGGTAAAGTAAATAGCTCTTAGAACCAGGCTTTATCCAACCCCGGCTCCCAGGTAGGTGGCAGAATAGCTTGAGGAGCTGGGTGTGTCCCGAAAGGACTCCCTTCACATTCAGGCTGTGATGTTCCAGCAAAGTCTCTTTGGTTTGCCAAGATGCCCTGAAACAGGAACAAGGCTCCTCTCCTTGCAGGTCATGACAAAAAGAAAATGAGCTGTTCGTCAGTAACCTGGCACCAGGGGTCCCTGAGGATGGCAGTACCACACCTGCATATCACAGGCTTGTGAACCCCTGAGGCCTCCAAGCTCACCGAGGTGGTCACAGCTGCCCCCTACCCTGAACTGCCTCACCTCTCCAGTTTTCTAAAATGAATTTGGTGGAAGTGAGAGGGGCAAAGACAAGGGAGGTGATGTGGGAGCCCGTGGAGGTTAGGGTGTGGGTGGAGAAGGTTATGGAAAGTGGGATTCCTCCTGCTTCTCTTTCATCAAGGTTCTACCCCACTCTCCCAGACATGGACAGGGCAGTGTCTGTGACCAGCAGGCCCATGTTAGCATAGGAGCTCACTGGCTTAGCACGTGGCAGTGGAGACATGGCCTGTGTCCTCTAGCTGAGGCACGTGGGGAGCTCACAGGTGAACAACACAAGGACTTCAGGAAATGCAGTTCCTGGGCCACCCTGGTTCACTGGCCTCATGGTTCTAACAGCGCAGTGGCTGCTGGTCTGTAGAGGAAAGGGTTCTCCTCAGCCCAGCCGGCTATGGGCGTGGGTGGCCTGGCCTGGCTCCCCCTCTCTCCACATAGCTAGAGCCTACTTAAGGTTTGGTTTTTGTTCTTGAACACATAGCTGCCCTATCTGTGCTTCCTCTAAGTATTTTTGTCTTTAACTGATTCACGGCAGCTGACCCTCAGCAGGAGAAAAATAACCAAACTGGAGCCCAAAGCCCCGCCTCCCTCTTGCGCTGTGGCCTCTCCCCCTTTTCGCTGCTGCTCATTGTGCAACTGCTGGGCCCAGGCGCTGCATGGGGCCTTCATTCTGGATCCAGTTATCCTGCTTTGCACCACCATGAAGTGGCAGGGACCCCATTCCACGGGGCCCAGGAAAGTTAGACCACCTGCCACAACTCACCACTGCTGAATGGCAGAGCCAGGATTCTAAGTGGTGCCTGACATCAACACCTGTGTGCTTAACAGTGCTCCCGTCTGCCAGTCAGGTGTGAGCAGGGACGCCTCCTCCACCTCCAACCTCTTAGTGGGACCATCCCTAAATCATCCCAGAAAGATGACTGAGTGAGGTCAGCTTGGGGAAAGATAGTCCCTTTCCTGTCTCTATCCCTGTCATGGGACAGGGACAGCATTTGTGAGTGGGGAGAGGGCCCAGAGCCACGCACACCTGGGTTTCTATCCTGGCTCCACCCAGCCTTTCTGTGCTTGTTTCTTCAACTGTGAAAAGGGAACATAAATAGGTTGTTTCTCACAGGGTCACGAGGCTCATGGGAGTTACTGAAGCAAGCACCCAGAACTTCCTAAGAATCACACATCAGACCAGAACTGGACTCCACAGTGTTAAATGCTAGAGGAAGGCACAGGAGCTTAAGGCCTGGGAATTTATCATCAGTTGTGAGACAAGACCCCATACCAGGAATGTTGATTGACAGCTTAGAACATCGCGATACCAGGATGTGGCACTTGACGGCCATACACACAATAGCACACAGCTAAGTCCAGGAGCATAGTGATGGGAGGGGCATCCCAGGTTGGGGCTGGGGAAAGGATTAGGCGTGGAGAGAGGGGCTCACGAGAATGGCCTTTGCTATTTATCTCCTCAACTGCAGGCATCAGAATCATTCAAGAAGGTGGCTGCCAATGCAGATTCCCAGGCCCTGCTGTCTGATATTCTGATTCTGCAGTTTTGGGAGGAGCCAGAGAATCTGTATTTTAAGTAATGCCCCTCCCCTGGGATTCTGATGTAGAGGGTTCCTGTACCCTTTGAGGAGCAGTTCCCAGGGACATCAATTTACAGAGCTAAGTGACATTGCTACCTCAGCCTGCCAAAGGAGCTCCCACTTACCTCTTGGTGTTCCTGCTGGGGAGTCAGGCTGGCCTCCATCACTGGCCCAATTCCCCACATAAAATCATCCTTCTTACTCCACACTTCCCCAAACAGCCACGAGCTCTCCTCCCCCTGTCCTCGGGGCTGTGCCCAATAGGACATAAAACACTTGGATGACAGCAACATCCAAAGTTTGTTCAGCTCCGTCTTCCCCATTCCAGGCCCATTATTCCCCCATGGCAACGTGTGGTATAGGTGGCCTTTGTTCCTGGGGGGGGACACCGAGGCCCAGAAAGTCGGGGGACTGCCTCGAGTCACCAGAAAACCTAAGGCAAAGCCCTGACTTGAACAACTTCTCTGCAGACCTAGAGGCTCTGGGCAAACCCAGCTGCCCTTCAAGCTTAAAGGGAGAAGAGCACAGCTAAGACTGACTACTCTGGACCCGAAAGATAAGTGCAAACTCACCCACTGGGACAGCAAATACCAAGCAGGCCAGGAGTTGGAGGGACCCTTCCATGTTGCAGCATCTGGAGACTCAGCAGCCCCACACCCAGCCAGGCCCCCAGTGAGAACCTGCTTGGCTCAGGTGTGGCCACAGTAGGTGGGGATGGGCACGGGGCTGCAGGCCCGGCTGGCTCTGGGAGCTGGAGGAACTGGGATGAAGCAGCCAGGCAGCCGGGGGTGTGATTAGACTGGACCCGTGCAGTTTAGTCATGTGGAAAACCAAGAGGGGAACCACTGGATGGTTTTCCAGCCCAGGAAACAGGGAAGTGTATGGGGAAGCAGGGGTTCTATGGCACCAGCCTGGGCCTTTTCTTCTTTCCTGCCCTCTGTGCCTATATTTTAGTGTACCATATGGGTTTCATCTCCCTCCATCTTCTTTTTTCTCCTTTTTCACTACCAGAGAGATTTGGGCAAATTATCAAAAAAGGGGAGGAGCCTGCTAACATAATAATTCAGTGACCTGAAGCTAGGGAAAGTTGTCGGTATTTACAAGGAAAAAAAACAGTCTAGGTGATGATTCATGTTCGTGACCAGGGCCCCCTTGGAGGGTCTTCAGTCCTAGAACAGCACTTCTAAAACTTTAATGGTAATAGGGATCCTTTGGGGATCATGTTAAAATGCAGATTCAGATCCAGGTGGTCTGAGGCAGCAGGTAACTTGCATCTCTAAGTCCAAGGTGATGCCTAAGCTGGGGTCCTCTAGAGCCCTACTTCTGCAGCCACAGCTAGGAGACTCCCATCCTGGGAACCACGGGGTGGCATTATCAAGAGGACATCAAGACCCCAGTGGGGGGACAGGAGGAAGTTCTGGAGGCTTACTGTGTGGGTTTGAGACTGGAGTGGGGATTGGACCCATAGTGAGATCCCATGAGGACTGAAACTGTATTTGGATTTGGATTTGGCCTGTCTGGTAGATGACTTCTTTACTGGCAATGAACTGGATTGGACCCTTTCACTCTATGTCGCATGGCTCCTCCTGTGGGTTGGACAGTAGTGGAGTTTGCAACCTCGAGGGCTAAGAGATAAAATGAGATGTGGTTTTTCAAGATTGTGAAATGCACTTAAGACAAAGGCCGTTGCTCTTTCAAACCAGCCCTGTCAGGGTGGCAATGCCCTTCAGAGACTCAAGTAGTGTGCTCCTCAGAGACTGCAGTCATGGTGAGTTACAGTTTCTTCAAAAGTATTTTAAGTAATGTGAGTTACAGTTTTTTTCAAGAGTGAATGGGGCCCGTTCCCCCAAATTTACCTGTAAGAGCTGGGAGATGGAGTCTCCTCAGTGATGGCGCAGCTGGGCTAAGTTGCTCCTTTCTGGACATCCTTTCCATTTCCAATCTTGGAGGTGCCCTCAGTGCATAGTCTTGTTCCCAGCTGGAGTTCTAAGGAAGGTGATCTTCGGGAAATCGAAATCTGTGGTGTTAGTTCTGAAAGCAAAGCTGGGACCCGGGGAGGGGACTTGGAGGGTAGCAATCATCTTGCCAGACAGGGGGACACACCCTCCACCCTAGGCTTTATAGTTACACATACAAATCTCTCCCCCTCTTCCCTCCCTCTCCTTGTACCCCTTCTACCCTCCAGTGTTACCAAGATAAGTTAGTCCAAGTTGCCCAAGTTCAAAGGACAGGATTCAAGACAAGAGCTGTCGGAGGGAGTCAGGTTAACTCAACGGCCAGCCCTGAAGAAGATAGGATGGCTACTGACCTGGAAACTCCATCAGGGGACTCAGGAGCACCATCAGGGGACTTAGGAGCATCATCAGGGGACTCAGGAGCACCAAGGGCTTTTTTTTTTTTTTAGTTGTAGTTGGAGACGATACCTTTATTTTATTTATTTTTATGCTGTGCTGAGGATTGAAGCCAGTGCCTCACATGTGCTAGGCAAGTGCTCTATCACTGAGCTACAACCCCAGGCCACAGAGGACTTTTATAGGGTGGGGAAGGGGGAGCAGGGCAGGAAGGCTACATGCTGAGCAGGGTCTTCACCATTGAGGACATGTGTCTTCTTTCTCTGGCACATGACAATGGACCATGGCCTCCTGGGTCATCTGGGGCTAGCTTCTATAAAATGTCTCTCATTTTAGAAAGACATATTGCTTTTCTGTAAGTTAAACCCCATAGCAATTTATATGCTTTCTGTTAATTGGTGTCTAGAACTAAAACTCATTTAATTGAGCCATTACTATGTATATATACTGTGTGTGTGTGCATCTATATCTCCATACATACACAAAGCTGGACACTGAAGACCCAGCCCAAGCTTTAACATCCCATCTTGATTCACCTTCTTAGTCGGCCAGGTATATCTTATAAAAGTGTTCAAAAGTCATCAGATATTCTGGGTTCTGTAAATCTAAAGATTATTTAGCAGTTAACACCTTAATCATTTAGGTGGGGCTTCTCTCTAGAACTTAGAATGCTGGGGAAAAGGGAGGAGATGACGTAAGAGGAATAGGGAGGTGCAAAACCTTGGGCAAAGGAAGGGCAAAGGGAATGACTTTGCCAAGACAACTCCCCAGAGGAGCGGCCCTGTCACACCAGGGCTTCTCTTATCACAGTCGGGCCAGGCTCTGGTTTACAACAAGTATTCTTGAAGAGGATAATAGAATAGAAGTTTCACCTGCAGACTAAGCTAGTGAATCAGTGTCCCACATTCTCAAAGCTTGGCTGGACTTAAGTGCCCAGCTTCTGTGTGTGTGTGTGTGTGTGTGTGTGTATGGAAATACATAAGTGTATACACACACCCTGATGTTTCTGTTTGTATTATTGAATGGGAAGCTGATGTTCCTTCTCCCAGTCTCCCTGTATTAATGGATTAAGGTATGTTTTGCTTACTGCTCAAAGACCAATATTCAAGAGATGAGTGGTATGGGGAGCAGGTTGTACCTTGTTCTGAGCTGGAACATATAAACCTAGCCCGGAGCTACTCCATTTTGAGTACAAGTGCTAAGGAAGAGTGATTTGGTAACTTGTTTGGGTAAATAGATAATCACCAGATGTTGGACACACAGAACTTATCAAAAGGAATAACTCCCATTTACACAGTACAATCATAAGACACAAACTGATAAATTAATAAAAAAAAATGACCACCTATTAACTTATGGAAGTAAATCAGAAGTACATGGATATATGAGTATAACAAATCATATCAGAAAAAGCAGGCCCATGCACTTATCAGTCTCACTAGATACAACCCCCTTACCTGTAATCCATATGAGTAGAAGCACCCCAAGACTACTTAGGGTGGCACACACTGACCCTTAAGCAGGCCGTCTGGTGAACATGTCACGAGATCAACAGGCAACAAACCTCTGACTCTTTGTCCCTGGGCTTCAGCTTAGCTTGACTTCCCTTGACACGGTCCATTTCAAACTGTCTGTCGTCTGGACCCTGGAAGAGAAGTTCTTTGCTGTCTGCACTGTGTCCAGGACAAGTTCTCTGCTAGTTCATGATCTTATCTGATCACCTGCAGTGACTCTCTTTCCTGTTTGTCTCTGCTCTCTGCCTTTTTTGGCATTGCATCCTGAAGCCTTGTCTTGTGACTGATACCACCTTTTCTTAACCTTTCTGGATATATATATATATATATATATATATATATATATATATATATAATTTTTTTCCTGTGAAGTATGATGTGTGACTTGAGTATTGTAGACATTAGTAATTAACATTGGAATAAAAGAACTTGTGAGTCTGAGATGGCCTGGCTTATGGCTACCAAGTGACCCACAAATACCAGTGAATTGCAGCCAATGAAAATGATGTCTTTTGTGAATTTATTGTTATTTAATAGATTCAGACAGTGTGGAAGACACAAATGTTAATGGCACAGCTTGCTCATAACATGAGAGTCCATAGAAAGGAGTCATGTTTATTCAAGGTCTGGCCCTGAAGAAGATGGAGTGGCTGTCAATCTCAGAGCTCCATCCTGGGGGGCTCAGGAGCACAAACGGCTTCAGAGGGAGGGGAAGGAGGGGCAGGGCAGGAGGGTTACATGCTGAGCAGGGTCTTCATCATTCAGGACACATGTCTTCTTCTCTGGAACATGACAAGGGGCCATGGCCTCCTGGGGTCATCTGGGGCTAGCTCTTGAAATTCTTTTTAGATAGATATATTACTTTTCTGCAAGTTAAATCATTTTAAAATTTTTTTATTTGTTCTAATTAGTTATACATGACAGTAGAATGCATTTTGACATATCATACATATATGGAGTGTAACAATCATTCTGGTTGTACATGATGTAGAGTTACACGGATCATGTAATCATATATGCACATAGGGTAATAACGCCCAATTCATTCCACCATCTGCAAGTTAAATTATCACTAGGGAAAAACCTTAAATAAAAAACCTTAAATAAACCCTTAAGTTTTACTTGCCCTTAGTTTACTTAAAAATCACCTATTTTGGAGGTCACCACTATTAGCCTCCCGCTAACTTTGTAGGTATAACCTCTAACGTGTGGATTATGATAGTAACAGTTGCCTAGGTTACTCTTCAGGGACCTGAGGACTGCTTTTGCAACCTGACTCTTCACTTAGGCCTGCTGATGTCCTATGGGTGGCTGAAATGGGATCAAAAGGCTTGGCATCTCTGTCTTTATATTGTATCTGTCTCCTTTGTTGCCTTAACTTTTGGGTCAGATTTTACTTAACTCTGCAGTAGACCTGTTGAACATTTGAGAAATATATCGTCCAGAACAATAAATAGAGTTAACTTGATTTTATTTGCCTAGCCTCCACCTCCACGCCCCCATTAAGGCTAAAGACACGTACCAACTACCATGGTTGGAAAAAGCAGAGTGAAAGTCAGGAAGAGGTAGGTAGCACCCGAGTTCCTGGAAGACCTCTGCCTATTCTCAGAAAAGACAGTGAACTCCTTCCCTTTCTTAGCCTCTCCCTCTCCCTCACTACTCCTCCTCTATCTGTAACCCCGTGACCCCTGGAGTTGAGCAGTCCATTTGAGAGCAAGGGCTCCCACTTCTCTGTTTTTTGGCCTTTGAATAAAGCCTT